ATTAAAAAACCGAAAAATCAAAAAATTAAAAAATCGGAAATCGAAAAATGAAATAAAAAAAAACGAAAATTCAAAAATCGAATAATCCGAAACTAAAATAATAGAAAAGTGGAAAAGTAAAAATTGCAAAGTCTCAAAACTGACGAACAGAACAATCGAAAAATAAAAAAAAATCGAAAAATATCTAAACATGGAAAATCGAAAATCGGAAAATGGAAAAACCGAAAAATCGAAAATCGAAAACTCGAAAAATCGAAAATTCGATGAAACAAATACTCGAAAAAGCGAAAAGTAAAAAAATTGCAAGGCCTAAAAATTGAAAAATCAAAAAATCGAAAAAATGAAAATCGAAAAAACGATGATCGAAAAAAAATCAAAAAATCGAAAAGTGGAAAATCGGAAAGTAACAAAATTGAAATCTAAAAGCTGCAAATTGCAGAACCATAAAAACTGAAACAAACAGAAAAATCGAAAAACCACAAAAACGAAAAAACTGAAAACTCGAAAAATCAAAATACCGCAAATTTGAAAAGTCAGAAAATTAGAAAGTAATAAAATCGAAAAATTGATAGAAAAATGGAAACTGAAAAATCTAATTCGATGAAACTGTTGGTCGAAAAAACGAAAAATCGAAAATCGAAATGACCTTTTTTTGAGACAGGCTGTATAAGTAAATCTAAAAAATATAACTGCAATGATAAATCACAGGTATAGACTCATCATATCAAATTTTACGATGACGTCATGAATTTTTTTTCCAAGATAAGCAAATACATTTTGATCATGGCTTTGAAAGTATTCTGCGACTTTCGTTATATTTCAAAATTTACTCTTTGTATATTTCAGTGGTCACAACGAGTTCACTAACTACGCTGAAGTATGCAAAGATTAAATTTGTCACCGAAAAGATGTCGGAAGTAAATTATCCTATCGGTCGAAGAACGTTCGGTCCGGTGTTACACCTCGACCCAAGAGAGACCGCAGTAAAGGATAACAAATGGAACGGATCAAATAAAGCGTCAAATATGATTGATAAACTTTAAACCAAAATGAAGAAGTTTATAAACTGAACATTTTTTTTTTGCTTTTTGAAATGTAGTACACTTCAAAAAATGTCCGTGACTTACTTTAATGTGAATTTTATAACTATGGTCGGTACAATTAGACCTAATATTAGTGTGATTTTGAGCATATTCTCGATGTTATTAGAGCAGGACAGTTTTTTTTTCTAACTAATTGACAAGATTTCAAAGTATTCAGTTTTGCAATTCTTGATTTCTTCAATAAAATAAATTGACTCAGTCATTATTTTTGTTTAGTCTCCCTGTATGTATAAACAAATCCAAAAAACATTAATGGAATGGTAAATCACAAGTATAGACTCATCATATTCTGAACATTTTAGATAGGGTATTTTTAAAATTAAAACTAATTCAGGGTAAGAATTTGGTCAACACGTAAATTTCGTTGTAGTTTGAGCCTACCTACAAATTACGCCCTTGGACGATTTGGACCGCCTCCTTCGGTGACGACCGGCAAAAATGATCCGCCCATAGGCTCAAAACATTTGCGTGCGATTGTACACAAAGCATTGTTGCTAAAAAGATAAGATAAAACATCGTATGACAAAGACGATAAATATTTGTGACATGGGTTACCAGAACACCGATATTCAATAGGAAATGCAATATTGGCATATAAAGCGAACTCAAAACAAACACCAACCTAAACTTAAACAGTGAATAAATCGAGTTTCATTCGTAAATAAGTGTAAATACTCGGTGTATCGCCAGAAATTCTATTGGTATTATCAGAAGACATTTTTTCACATTTTGGATTACGCTTTGTCTGTACTTGACAGTGAACATTATTAACATGAAAATAACACGTATCTGTCGTAAACACACCAAATTATGTGAATTAAAACTAGCTATTACAAAAATTTTCTATAATATACAGTGTACTGGCGTCAGGATGGCTTCTCAAAACTCACACTTTCTTAAATAGTATACTTGTGCTTTATGAATCCGTCCTGTTTTTGTTTATTATTGTTTGCTCAGAACTACCAGAAATACGATTCAAACATGGCATAGATCAATGTGTGTTAAAATATGCTGAAAATGAAAATTAAAATAACTCCAAAAATACCGTGTGATTTTTTAAATTTCTGCCGTAGTTAGCCATCACACGTCAACACTGCAATTGAAACGGCATGGCCAACTAGAGCAGAAATTTAAAAAAACAGCCGATATAAAGTACTATCAAAAACTGAATAAACGTATGATTTTTTGCTATTTTTTTGGCTTACAATTCCAAATAATTCAAAAAGAAACGTATTTTGTATAATTTTTGAATTAAAAAAAGAATCCAATTTTCAATCCGAAAGGATCAAAGGTTTGACGAATCGGACGCCGTCGACCACTAGAACTTGAAATATATTCATAGAACCTTTGTTCCTTTCAGACAATGAATTAAGGCGGTCGGGGCTGTAAATTATCATTAACGCAATCCGGAGCGGTTTATTTGTGGCTTCCAACAGAGAGAAAGTCAATTTTCAGTATTTGGTGGGTGGACTGTACTAAGTGATGTCCGAAAGGTTCAAGGATTTTGCGAATCGGAGGTCCTTTGACGATTAGGTTTAAAACGTCTTCATGCACGTCTGATTCATTGAGCCTTTGTTTCTTACATGACTACCATAATCTTAGCGGTTTGTCGGTGCCGTCCAATAAAATAGAAAGTCAGTGTTCAGACACGATCTGATGGTTTTATGGTCGTATTAGTGTCAATTAGACCAACGGTGGTTGAACAGCCACCTACCCAATGAGGCTTTTTGCTATCCTCAAGCAAAATAAGTAGCTTTTCGTTTTAGAAATTATGGCTGTCAAGGTTTTTATACTTGTCCAAAAGGTATAAGGTTATATGACCATCATAAAAGTAATTGACCGCAAATAAATACCCCCTTTGTGTGGTTTGCACTAAGCTTACCGGTCGGCAATAAATCATCTTCTAAACATTTCTTGCTCATATTTAACAGGGCCGGCCTTCAAAGTGAGTGGTTATTTCGGAACCCTCAGCGGCTGCAGGTAGTAAAGAAATAGTGGAGTGGTGGATTTTCATATTTAGTGAAAGCCTCTCCTGAACGAAACCACAACTGCAGTGGACACGTTATTTACGACCCTAAAACCTTTTCTATTGTCAACAACTAATCTTCGATACAATGGGATGATTTTATGATGGTCATATAACCTTATAGGTTCTGGTCTACTATACCTTCGTCAGGTCCGTATTCACCACGTTTTATTAAACTAATGACAACATTTAAACTGGTTTTATAATTCTAGCGTTAATAATGATTATCATAGCATTATAATGTACGAGTATAAAAGACTAGATGATTTATTTTAAAATCACGTATTTAGCTAACTAGAAATGTAGAAAACGTAATGACGGCTCATAATTTTCGGTACCTTGTAGTCGTCTTTGTTGCTTAATTTTTATGATATCCACTGTCTGGTGGTAGTTTGCAAAAACTATAGATAATTTTGTGAACGAAAATGAGTTCAAGTTTTTGGAAAAAAGAACAAATGTGGAAATTTTATAAAATTGTTGGATCATGCAGACCAACGTAGGTCGAATCCGGCTCTGTTCGATTCGACTGACTGCGATCTATTATTGTTTGCAGAAAAGCTCATTTATAAACTGTACCGTCAAAACATGACTTGTAAGTTTTAACGTAATTACTCTATAAAATGTATTCCCTCTTAAACAGACAAAATTGGTGTATAATTTAATTTTTGAAACGTATTCTGCATACAACTATTATTTTTGAAAAATAACCAAAAAATATGAAATCAGGAATTAAAAATTTGGCGATTCTGGAACTATGGAAAACTAGGCTTCGTTGGTTTTGAACCCTCATATGAAAATACGAAAACTCTTGGTTTTTATTTTGTAGGTCGAAAAAAATTATTAGCACCGTTGTCTGGGCGCAACTTGCCAACATTCCAACCTGCGAAAAAATATTTTTTGATAATTTTTATTTCGTCTGGCAACGAAGTTAAAATGATGTACATACGTCAAATAAGGTCGCGTGACTTCGTAACTCCGTACATGTTTGTAAATCAGAAAACCTAAGGAAGTTAGGGTTACCCATATTTTGACTTTTTGTTGATATTACTGTGACACTAGAACTAGATATAAATAAAGTAAGACCAAGGTTTGTCTGATGGGTTAAGTTCTTGTATATTTGTGACCGTCCGCAATCTATGTAAATCATAGCATGATTAGACATAATTCCGAATAGCTCCACATAGAACCCATCGAAGGATGAGTAATGCGAGTTAATAACCGTGAAGCATGCAAACAACCCGACCAGCAACCAGTAAATAACTCGAAATGTGAGTAATTTCGCGTTTAGTCAAACCGCTTCAAAGAAACCATCGAAACGCAATTCTCGTAAAATTCGATAAAACGAAAACACGGTACGAAAAACACCTGGAAACTTTTAATTACCCCGCAGGTACAAAGACTCGCTCCTAGTTCCTGATGCACCTGTCGTAGAAAGAACGAAACGTCGATATACGTCGTGCAATAAAACAAGGGCCCCTCCAACGCCAATTTAGCACAAAGGATGCTAAATCCAAACCGAGCCCGAAATATCCTTTTTGTTAAGTTTGTTGATCCTCCTCCATCCCATCTGGATCAACAACCTTGTTTTGTTTGTCCGCGTGCGTATTTGCGTCGATCGCTCGAATCCCTTTTTTACGACAGAGGAAAAAGTGCGTTTTACATGTCTTATTATCTATGATTGCGCCGTAAATCGTAAACGTATTCCGTCCAATAATGATCAAGCAGGCGCCGAAGTTGACTCGGCAACTTTCCAAGATGTCCGCCATGTTTGCGCCACGTCCCGTCTCTCTCTGACGCACCGAAGCCCATAAGTCGGCACGTGTCGCCCGAGTTGCGCAGAAGCCGATTTCACGCGATCTAGGTCCGTTCGGCGGCGAACCGACGTCAGTTCGGTGATGGTCCGCGTCGGGCGAACAAGTCACGAATTCCGTTATTCGCAAGCCAGTGTCTAGTTGGCTGTGCGTGTGGCAAGCGAAGCCCTCTTGATCGGATACTTGTGGCGAAAACGGGATTGGCCGAAAATCGACACGTGTCGAAAAGCAAGTGAACGATTGCTGTGTCAGTGCCCGAGGATTATAATCTAGAGTGCGATGTTGACGCGTGATTTTTGAGCGACAAAAAACTATATTGGCAGGTGAGTGTGTACAGGGTGTGCGATCAATCCTCGTCGCTTTGTTCCATGAATGATGACCCTGCAAGGTTACTGGCATTAAAATCGAATTTGTATGGTCGGGTTATCTTTTGTTAGCGGAAATACCGACGGTTAGTCACGTTCTTGGAGTGTGTGGGGGGTTTCGACCTTACGGACGTCTTCTTCAGGTCGGCGAGTGATGTGTTTCGTCGGATTTCAACAGAGACGGAGACTGTGATAAAAACCTATGACGTCATGCTTTTTGAAGAACGTTATCTGACGGATGTCTATAATTAAAAATCTGTGCGGTTATCGTTGCGGATCGTTCGGCCGAAATCACGACGACTTTAGAGCGAAATTAGGTGAGAGATAGTAAGCGAATTTTCGCGACTAACTAAGTAAGTTACGGTATCTTATTACGTGTAACATTAACATTTTCGCTTTGGAAAGGTATCAGAGGAGAAGGTGTTGTGACGTCATATCGACCTTACCATGAACATACTGGCACTAACGGCCTAACGTTGCATGTATCTCGCGGTAACCAAATGTAGATCTGAGAATGTAGAGCAAACTCGTCAGAGAGACCGAATGCTGACAATCCTAGAGAAAATGACCAAAAAACGAAAACGCGAAATGGATTCCAGTGAAGATGAAAATTAAAACAGAAACGATTTTAAAGACAATGTTATTTCCTTCGTTAGAATTTATGTTTTGTTGTTTTTAATACATATTGTATCTATCTTTTCTTATTTTCTATAAGATATATTATACATTGTTTAATAATTCTCTAGCTATTCGGTTCCTTTTGAGTTGTGCTCTTCGAGTTTCTTCATCATTGTCTTCTGCAATGAACTCTTGTTCGTTAACATCTTCATAGAGCTCATCTTCCCACTGATCTTTATTCATGTAGCAAAAATTATGTAAAACGCATGCAGCAGTGGTTATTTCAATAGCTTTGCTAATGGAGTAGGTGTTAATGAATATTACTCTCCTAAATCGACCTTTAATGCGGGCAAAAATATGTTCGACCACAACACGATCAGCACTCAAATGATAGTTGTGCTGTCTTTCAATTCTATTTAAAGCTGGTCTACGCTTATAGGGTGTCATCATCCACATTTTTAATGGAAATGCACTATCTCCTAATATATGACATTCTTCATTAGGAAAATAGAACTGCGAACCATGTGTTGCAATGTTTTGGACAAATGTTGAGTTCGAAAAGACCTATAAGTTACACTTGAGGTTCAACTTCCATAATTTCAAAAATATAAATTACTCTGGAATCATGGGCCGATCCTGGGAATCCAATAAAAACGTAAGTCAAAATTTTTTCAGCAGTAGATATCACCATAGCATTAATAGAATGTCTAAGATATCTATTAACATAACTGTCATGTTGAGTATGTGGCACGACTTTTATATCTATCTGGCTACCATCAATAGCACCCAAAACATCTAAAGAAAAACATGAACATGAATCATTTTGAAATATCAAACAATTTAAAAATTTACTTGGATAATGAGTAAAACCGTTTATTATATGTTCTACCTCTTCATCAGTTCGAGGCCAAAATATGTATTTCTTGTTTATTTTTAACATAATATAAAGCAAAGCATTCACTATATTCATTGCAGTTGATGGAACAATTCCAAATCTTTGCCCAATTGACAATAAACTTTCTTGGGTTGCCATATATGTTAAAAACGTAAGCAAAGCCTTCTCAGGTGGTATTGGTAAATTACCCCCGTGATATTTTTTCCTCATTAACTTATGGTTGTCATTTTCCAGAACAACATTTAATAAGTTTAAAAACGTTGACTTTTGTATTCGAAAAAACCGAAAAAACATGATGTCATGGTAATTTCTTAACCAATCTTCTTCAATCGGCCCTTTGTAATAGGTTTCACGTAATTTTATATACAAATTTGTGGCATTTGTTTTATTGAGAATCCAGTTACACAACAGAAGTTCATCAGCATCAAAAAAGTACTGTTCACATAAATTAATTACGCCGAGTGGCTCCATTTTCCACCAAAACTTTAATGCTGCACAGTTTTTGCAAATTGCAAGGTTATATTTTCTTACGTTCTTGTCACACTTCTTGACAGTCAATCATATTACATTATTTTCGTGATAATCGTCGCAGTATGTTGATTACGTCATTGTCATTAGGTGGGGATGTTACCAGTATCATACTTTTCAGTTACAGAAAGTTAGTCGCGAAAATTCGCTTAGTGAGTGGAATGGGTCAGCTGATAACGGTGTTGGATTTTTTTCTGACCAGACTGCTAACGGTTTTCGATTACTGTGAGTCATAGGGATGGTGTGTGACGTCACGATTTCCAAAAACAGTGGACGTTACGTGGTGATATTTGAATAGGAAATTTACACGGTTTGACATTCGGTTTGCGAAATGTTCAAAGTGCGAGCTGTTGCGGAATGTTGCTGGAAATTGTACACGAGGTCTAGAAATAATATACTACGCAATTTGTATTGTCTTTTAAAAACTTTTTAAGGAAAGGCTGAAATCAAATACAGGGTGTTGCATTGACAATGAAATTAACGTACGTCCATCTTTAAAAATGGCGGAAAAACAACTAAGTTTTTAGGGAAACATCCTGTATACTTTTAAGTTGTACACGTAAATGAGTTTCATTTTTTAGTAGTACACAGGAAATGCATAATCTTTTACCATCAGACAGTTGGGACAGCTGTGTATGGAAAAAAGAATTGTCGACTGATTATCTAGCCTAACAAGTACATATCTTATTTTTCTAAGTCATATTACAAAAAAATATACCTGTATTTTATGGAAATAAACGCAATTTTTTTGCTCATTTATGACGGGATGGATTTTATGATGGCCAGCGGATGTGACTTTCAAAATTTACGCCTTAAATATAGATATCTTAAACTAATCCTTTGTTTAATCATCGAAATCCATTAAAGTAACATAGCTGAAGGGGAAAAACAGAGAGAATGTTCGTGTCTGCACTGGCGAAGGTATCGGCAAAAAATTTGGAAATTATAAGAGTTCATTAAAATTAGCTCCAGTTACGGTAGACGGCATTCATTTGCCTAATTTCGTATTAGTGTCAGAATTCATAATTTTAAAAGTGAAATACATACTGAACGATGAGAGTTGGTCGGATTTAAATGAAGTGATTTTTTTCAAAAAATCGCTGATCAGTTTTTTAATTTGTTGTGTCAGTTTTTCCACCATTTCAAATTTTATTTTACTTTTTCAAAAATTTCCAAAAACGCGTTTCTAGAATTTATCAAATATGTCAAACAACATAAAATTGGTGGAAAACTTACATGTTTTCAGAAACAAAAAAATAAAATATACATGTTGATAATTTCTGAAAACAGTTCTTTATTCTGCATCAGAAAATGTCAAAAAATGTACTTGTCAAGATAAGACTGATTTTCGCAGATGACCCACTCTTCTAAGAAAATAAAGGCTGTACTTGCTAAAAATAAAAAAATGACAAATTGAAAAATCGGATAAATAAGAAATCGGAAAATTAAACAACTGTATAATCGGAAAATCAAAAACTGAAATATCGAAAAATTGAAAAAAAAACAATCTTATAAAATCGAATTTTTCGTTTTTTTTTTGGTTTTTAGATTTTTCTACTTTTGAATTTTTCATTTGATAATTTGTAGAACAAATTTATTCGAACCGAAATTTTGGAAAACCGGAAAATCCAAAAATTGAAAATTAGAAACAAAATTTTCAGATGTTTGAAACTTACGGTAAACATGGCAAATTTCTGATCAAAATTACTTTTTAGTCCCTTCCAAAAACCGGGTGACAAGAAATCAAAATTCGATAATTTAAAAAAATAAACATCTATTTTCCCGAGATTTTTAATAATCAAATAATTGATAAATAGAGAAACAGAGAAATCAAAAATCGAAAGATGGATAAAAAAATTGAACATTTAAAAAGCGAAAAATTGAAAAATTCGAAAGTTGAAAAATCGAAAAACTGAAAAATCTAGTAGTACTCACTACGATAAGACGGATTTTGGCAAATGATCTACTCTCTAATAAAACAAAGGGTGGGTGGGCGGGGCTAGTACCTTTTAGAAAAACACCGAGTTACAAAAAAATGTAACAGTCATTTCTTCCCAATATCCACCCATTATAGATTTCGACAAACGTCAGCTATTAATTTTCATTTAACTTATAATGTTCTCCCCTGAAGGTACACGAAAGTATACAAAATTGGTTCCAACTACGACATACCAAAAGCCATTGAAGAAGAATTTTAAGGTTATGTGCGGCGTGAACTTGCAATGGCCTTTTAAGAAATTTTTAATCCGGTTTTTACTGTCCTGAACAAAACGTTTTCGAAAAATTTTAGTTTAATATCTTCAGTTTTACATCATATTATTATCATAATAACTGGTGTAAAGTTGGTACCTCTCATTTTAGAACTCGGGATGTTTTAAAGAGATTTGTTGCGATGTGGCAACCTTGACGAAATTAGTAAAAGGAGATACGACCCGAGGATCTAATAAGATAATTATTTTGTCATCGAACTGAAGAAAGGGTGGGTGGGCGGACCTGTTGCTTGATTATAAAAGACTATGTAGGGAAAAGTAAAACTTAGCACCGCCCACCCACCTGTTCAATATATATTTTTTCTTTTTTACTTGTTTTACAGTCTAAATTCTATTAGTTTACCTAGTACCTAATTAACCACATCTTTTATTTTACATTATTAATTTTGTTATGTTTGAGTTTATATTTTTATTCGGTAATAGGTTTTCAAAGTTTTTAATAATGTCTTTACTTAATGAACGATAAAGACAGTCAAACTTGTATTATTTCGGTTTGGAGATTATTCCCACAGTTTTTGGGCCGCTTTTTTGTACACTAGATGGCAACTTTGGACAAGCAAGGTCTGGCAAAATTGCTAATTGTTTGTTGATACATCTTTGCCTATCAGCAATTTTCACATTCGTGCCATTCAATGTCTTATTTTCTT